GAGATTAAGATTGTGAAAAAATTTTGGACAGACAAAAATTAGGAGCTATACAGTACTGTATTCGGTATATGTACATGTATGTATGTTAAATTATGGTCCATTTTCTCTCATAATGATATTCATAAAGTGTGTATAGTGTACTATGAATTCCTGATGTGTGGCCGGGTATCAATGAATCTAATTAACTGATCACAAGATGTCGTTAGAGGACAAGTGTTGGGATGCGTTTGAGAGAGGAGATCATAAAGAAGCTGTTCGCTTGCTAGCATTAGTGAAGGAACCGAATAAAATTAAAAGGAGATATAGTGTGTGGGATAATATTAGTTTACTTCATTTGTCTTCAAGGAATGGCTGGTTAGATGTTACAAAAGATCTCATCACTAAATATCACTGTGACCCACACGAAAGAGATGGTTGGGGTAGGACTTGTCTTCATTGGGCTGCACTAGGTTATCATGTTGATGTGATGAGATATCTCATTGATGAGTGTCACTGTGATCCAATGGTTCCTAATAAGTATGGATATACTGTTCTTCACAGTGTAGCTGAGAATGGATCACTTGATTTCATGAAGTACTTGATCGATCATCATCACTGTGATCCAATGGCTACTAACAATAGAGGTGAGACTGTTCTTCACCGTGCTGCTGGACACATTGATAGTGTAAAGTATCTCATTAATGAGTGTCACTGTGATCCAATGGCTACTGACTCTAACAGCAGGACAATTCTTCATGCAGCAGCTTTTAGGAACTCACCTGATGTAATCAAATATCTAATCAATGAGTGTCACTGTGATCCAATGGCTGTTAACATGAGCGGGTGGACACCTCTTCATGATGCTGCTTATTGTGGTCATTCTACAGCTGTTGAATATTTACTATCAACTGGTAAATGTGATCCATTGGCTAAAGACTATGATGGGAGAACACCATTTGAACTAGCGGAGAGAGGTAACACTGATACTCTTTCTGTCTTAAAGAAGTTTGGTGGTATAAAATCATCTCATCCAATTGATTCTTATGTTAACGTCCTCCTTGTGGGTAATCCTGGAGCTGGTAAAAGTACTCTTAGTCATGTCATCAATGACACAGCTACTGGTCCTATTGCTCTGGGCTCCTTTAGAAATGTTGGAGGGGTAGTGCCCTGTACTGCTGGCATCATTCCTTATAAACTACAACACAAGACACTGGGTAACATCATTCTTCATGATTTCGCTGGTCATTCAGAATACTACTCCAGTCACAGTGCTGTCATTGAGAATCTCTTACAAGGTTCTGGTGGTGTGTTCCTCATAGTAGTCAATATATTGGAGAAGGAACCAGTCAAACAGCTTCATCAGTGGCTAACAGTTGTCACAAATGAAGCACACAAAGCTCTTAATCAATGCCATGTTATTGTAATAGTCAGTCATGTGGATGAGATATTTAATCCTTTTGAAAGGAGAAGGAGAAAGGAAGAAATACAGGAGACTATTGTAAGGGAAAAGTGTGATAGTGTCTTCTTAGATTGTCGTAAGCTTGGTGGGAATGATGTGGATTCCTTCTTTAATAAGTTGTGTAGTGCCTGTGAGTCGATTCGTAGTACAAGTGGAAGGAATTTGAGTCTTTATTGTCACATGATGTATGGTCTACTGGAGGAAAGGAAAGAGAATATACTCACCCTCTCTCATGTAATGTCTGTTGGTAAGGACAATGATGATTACTTTATACCAGATAAGAGAGAAGACGTCTTGGATGTTCTTCATTCGTTGCACTCAACTGGTTTGATCAGTGTTCTTAAAAGTGAAGACAAGGTATGGGTTGTTGTGAATAAGGGTATACTACTAACTGAGGTGGATGGGATTCTCTTTGCTCCAGAGACATTCAAAGAACACGTTGACATTGCTAGCAATACTTGTATTGTTAGTGTGTCTGGTCTGACTAGACTCTTCCCTAAATATGATCCTGACATGTTGATTCGTTTTCTGAAGAAGATGGAACTCTGTGAAGAAATTAGTCCATCTTTCCTAAGAATGACAAACCTCCATCAGTTAGCAGTGGAAGAGGAGGAGCAGGGAGGGACAGAAAGAAGAGGAGAAAGGTTGTTGCACTTTCCATGTCTTTTGTCTACTGATAGACCTGATGAGATGACTAGTCAAGTGTACCAGTTCGGTTGGTGTCTACAGTGTACTAGTAAACATCATTTCTTTCCTCCTCGATACTTCCACGTCCTCTCATTACGTCTTGCTTACAAAATGGCTCAGCCTCAAGAAGATAAGTTAAAGCGACGTTGTACGTTTTGGAAGAACGGACTTTATTGGTTTAATGGTCATGGAGTAGGATCACTGGTAGAGATTGTGGACGAGAGCCAGTGTGTACTAGTAATGATGTCCTGTGAGAAAGGTTACAGTGACAATATGGTGTCTCTAAGAAGAGATGTGATAGGAGAGGTAATGAGTGTTTATAAGGAATCCTGTCCCAGTCTAGAGGTAAAAGAGTTAGTTATTGATCCTAAAGAGCTAGCCTATCTTGTGAATACACCAAGAGAAAGGACAGTGTATAGTGTAAAAGCTGTGATGTCTGCTATTGTCAAGAGAGAAGAGTTTCTAGTAAAAACTAATGGTACCAAAGGTGAAAAGGTGAAGGAGATCCTAGCTGATGAATCATTATCAGATATTAGTAACCTGTCACTATTAGGAGGACGTGATATTAAGGTAAGAATTAACACACACAAACTGTTTGATACATTAATACAAGCACTAATAATCAAAAGGTCATATCTTTATTTCTTATCAAAGTTACTCAGTCTTTGTCATAATTGTGGGTTGTCATTGTGTGGCTTTTACTACTAATAATATATACTTGTACATCTGTTAAACTCACCTTTCAGCAATACACTACTGATGTATACAGTGACAAATATCAGTTATTATTATTATTATTGTATAGGAAGTGATTGAAATAACTGAAGAATTCAAGACACCATTGACTCCAATAAAGCTAGGTATATTATAATATGTACTATCACAATTGTCAAGTAGTGGGAGTGTAGACTGTACAGTGTATATACACATTATTAATTATTATTTTTATAGATATTAAAGATCTTGACATTGTCATTGAAGAGCTAACAATACTCAGTCAATTGGATTGTACTAAATGGTATCAGTTTGGACTTCATTTAGGATTATATGATCCAACACTAAATGCTATAAAGAAGGATCATGGAGAATGTAAGCCATGTCTGATACAGTGTATGTCTGCCTGGTTAAGAGGAGAAGATAAAGTGAGAGAGAAAGGAGGTCCCAGTTGGTCATCATTAGCTACAGCACTGGATACAATAGAAGAGAAACCTATTGCTAGTTACATTAGAAATAAATATTGTCCATCAAATAGTTCATTGACTAGTTTAAATGTTTAATTGTTTTATTTCTTATTCTATTATTTAATGATAATTACATGAAGTGAGCTAGCCAAAGCAAGCCCTACTAAAGGCCTTTCTACACTTGAACTGGTTCCAGAGGTCAGCTCATCAATGCCATCAATTGATTCCACACTATCATCAGGATCATGTACATTTTGATAGCATTTCTGATCCAGCTGCCA